GTGAGCAGGGGTCCATATTTCTTCTCGCGAAATCGCACCGCGCGGCTGGAGATAGGCAACGACTTAATCTGATCACTGGGTCTTGCACCCACAGCGAGAGCTGCTCTGTTCCTCGAGTCTCGAGGCTCCACTGTCTCAATCACCACCCGTGTCCCGTCTGGCTTCCTAATGGACAATGTTTGACTCCCATCAGGTCGTTCTATCGTCACCGCATGCACGTGGCTCAGCCACGTTCGACCCAAGAGCAGGTCAGAGCTACAACTCTTGACTGCAAAGACAGGCAGGGTCACACGTACCCCTTGGACCTCTATGGCTGCCTTGTGACAAACCCCAGTGATCTGTTGCTTTCTCCCATAAGCTGTCTCTATCTCGAATAGGTATGACCTATCGAGGCCCAGTCTAACTTGTACCGCCAGGTCCTCATCTATGATGACAGCCTCACTGCCGTTATCAATCACAGCATCGAGTACCGCTCCATCGTTTATAATCGTCTAACCTCTTCTCCATCGACCCGCTGCCCGTCCTTCTCCGTCATCACATAATCAGTGTAAGTCTTCTTCGATGTAGACCCTCTTGCTGACTTTGTGGCTGCCACCCTTATGGGTGTGGTCGCGATATCCCCCTCAAAGATTATCTTGATGCTCTGGCTCCTGACCGGCTCCATTCCTTTACTCGTCTTTATTCTCCTTGCTTCGATGTTCTCCTTCATCGAAGGAAACATTGATACATCTCGCAGATCATCTGCCTATTTGACGTACTTGCGGTCGTCAAGCACGACAAGTCCCTCATCTATTGCCCGTTTGAGGTCCGGGCAATCCCTCTTGATATGATCTTCTCCTCTACAGTAGACGCATGGGTTCCTGGGAGTAGACGCCCTATCGTCTGCGCCTCTAGATATCGAATTTTTGGCCGCCTTGGGGTCTGGCGACTTTGGATATGGTTCTGATGAGACACCATATCCCCCTCTCTCATTCCGACCGCGCGAATCGTTGCGCCGGTCTCCTCCAGACCCTCCTTGCTCATACTGCCCTCGCGAGTCATTCCGGCGGTCCCCCGAGTCAGAGCGTCCTCGTGACTCATCGCGTCGGTCCCCTCTGTTGTACCATCCCCGCGACTCGTCGCGCTGCTCTCTCGCATCTCCCCCGCGCTCAAACCGTCCGCGCGACCCATCTTGTCGTTCCCAGTCTCGATCTCCTCTCTCATATCTACTTCCTCTGTAGCCATCTCGACCCGACCTCTCGTATCTGTCGTCCCTATATCCATCTCGGTCCGTTCTCTCTTATCTGTCGTTCCTGTCCCATCGGCCGCGGGAGTCGCCTCTACCCCGATCGGCCTCATAGCGAGGGCTTCGGGGGTAATCATCTAGCCTCCTTGCTCGCACAAACAGCTCGCGATCTCTGCGGTCTCTGTCTCTTATACACATCTAGATGTGTATAAGAGACAGCCGGTACCGTTTCACTTAGGGCCTCCAGGTCCTTACCCAGCTACGGGCTCTACCCACTGTGGGCCCCTCAGGGCCTCTAACGTCGGGGAAGACTGGGACGCTGCTGCAGCAGCATAGGACCGGTACTATTTTTGGAACAGTTTAGGGGCTCAGTGGGACTGACGCGTGCACACAAATAAACACACAGCAGGGTCAGCCGGCATGCAAAACCACACAGCATAGTACAACCTCGCAGTCAATCTCGGCAGCAAAATCAGCAAGTCATTGCACTTCCCTCTACAACCTTTGTTACTTCCCTCTACAACCTATGTTACTTCCCTCTACAACCTATGTTACAGCTACAGCGCTGGTGCTGAGTGCCTGTTGATACAAGCGATCCTGTTCCTCTCCCTCTATCTCACTTGTCACTTGGTCACTCTTGAGCGCAGCAGCGCTTGCACAGCCAGGACGAGTGGAATTGCTGTGTGGATCAATAGTTGCTGTCCTTTTGTATGTGAAAATTTGACTTCCAGCCCTCGGACTTGCAGACCCAGTTGACTAGGTACCTTGGCGGTTTGGTCTTTCAGCCTTTTTGACATTTCCAGATTATTTGTGGGTGTCCTTGGGACCCTGGTCCGCTGATCATCCTGGCAACTCACATTCTTTAGTGGTTCGTGGATACAGATGTCAAGGGGCTAGATCTCATGAGGTCTGTTTGGTAATATGGTGACTACCGCGGACCCTATGCTAGACTATATGACCCGTGCTGAGGGGCTGAGGCTGCAGTGCCTTGTTTTTTTTCAGTTTTTTCCCGTTGCTATCGAAGGAAAAAGGCAAAATTCAGCAGAAACATCAATTTAATCTGGTGAGGTCAAGAACTCCGGTGAGTTGATACTGAGGAGGGATGAAAACAAGGTTCACTTAGAAGTTAGAACATGGACAACGAAGTTCAAGAGGGTAAGGAAATATAGCTGATATTCATGGACTCCATTTCAGATGGAAAGACTGGCACAACTCTACCACCCCCCAGGGGTCAAGAAGCTTTCTCCGGTCTGAACAGCAAGACTTCAGCGCCACATAAGGAGGTTCAGGGCTATCATCATTTGCTGATCTCTGTTTTCTTTGCATTAATGTCTAGCTGACAGGCCTCCAGTGCCCTCCACAGAGGAACCTGAGAGGGACTACAGGGAAAGGGAAGCTGACAGTCAATCCTCCTGTAAAGTGGAGTAATCAATGCTGGTCAGGACCCTTCGGCCAGATGAAAGGGGGCGTGGGTGTGTGCAATGATGTAATACTGTTATTCTGACTTGCCAGGGGAATAGGAACCAGGCTGACGCTCCCCAGAATGGATATGGAGCCAGGACCATAAGGACCTGTTTTATCAAAAAAAAAAAAAAAGTTAGAACATGGAAGAAAGAGAGAATGAAAAAAGAGAAGGTCCATGCATGTACAGTGCATTCAATCACAGAGTGAGCAGCACACCACACTGACCAGTTCGGAGACAGTAACACGGATTCCAAGAAAGAACGTTGAATAGCTCGAACAACTTTCTGAAATTCTTCAGAAGGATCTCTATTTCCCCTACATCGTCTTGAGCTCATCCACCCAAATCTCACCGATAGAACACTATGCGATACTCCTCTGCTCTTGGAACAGAGCACCTTGTTTTGCTCATTTACAAGTGCTTGATTTTATGTTGAAACATCACATGCTGAAAGCCCAGGGCCTCTGAGTTAGTTAGGCCCTGGGCACTCGAAAGTGAGGCCGAGAATGCATGCTGGGTATAGAGGCCGAAAATGCCAAAGGGAAATCGGCCCACTATCTGAATCTGGCCGCAGGCCTTGATGAAAGAGGCGCAACTGCATTGCCCCGGGGCCCAACTGTATCGGGTTGGCTTCAGCCTCTGGGTCCCGGTCACAGGCTGAAGGGAGGCCGCCCACACGCTGCACTGGCATATAGGCAAGCAGGGCGAGTGGGCAGGGATCTTGGCCAATGCTGGCATTGTGGGCACGCTGCGCGGATGCATGTGTGCTGCGCTGCGCTAAGGTCATTCAGGCTAGCGCTAGGCGGTAGGGCGCTGCCTGCATGCAGGGCACTGGCGGCCATAGCCGGGCCGCATGAGGGTGCAGTGGAGGTGAAGGGCGAAGGTGGTTCTTCGGAGGTGAAGGGCGCTGTGTGGGTAACAGGGAAGAGGGTGGGTGAAGAGGACACGTACCTGGTGGAGGTGGAGGTCGGCATTGGTGTTGACATCATCACTCGCTGGTAGTCAAGTTGTCTGGTTGCTTTCATTGCTGTAGTTGTAGGCTAGGCTGTAGAGTAGATGGGGCGCCTGGCGCCATTCACAAGAGAGAGCTACATTTGGGTTATGCTGTTGGTGTTGCCCTGGTGGGCATGGACATTGACTCACGATTCTTCTGTATCATTCTCAATTGGATGGTTACTTGGTTCCATTGTGCTATGTGCTTTGGCTTGGGCTACTTGGACTTCAGTGTGATTTTGCATTCTGGATTTTTGTGCTTCGTCCATATTCATGTTCCTTGCACTACCATAGGTACGCAGGATATTGCGTTCAGAGAAGTAGGTAGTTAACACTTCCCGTCATATAATAAAGCTCCTGATAAAAAACACACTCGAATAAATGACTGCAAAATAGCGATCATTACCTCAAGCCAAAAGACACCTCTGAACAAAAATGTGCACAAGCAGTAGGTTGCCACATGCACACACCATAGATGATCCTGTCACCCTGCTCGAACCACCAGCTTGCCAGGTCTGTTGAAGATCCTGCATTCCTTGCGGTGATCTAATATGCCGTGCCTGTTTGGAATTCCTTAAGCCATCATGCCGATCGACTTATCTGTACGGCGGAAGATGAGAGATCAAAGGAATGGCAATGGAGAGCGTTTTAGAAGAAAGGCGATCAGGCCATTCAACTTATCTGTACAGCGGAAGATGAGAGATCAAAGGAATGGCAATGGGGAAAGTTTCAGAAAGAATGGCGATCAGGAACTTTGCAGGCTTGCAAGTAAAGACACCTGATCCCTCCTGAGAGCAGGACCAACAGGTACCTGAGAGAGCAAAACCTGAGGGAAGAAGGGCGATCGCGTTGCGGGAAGGACGATCAAGCGCGTGGGCCCTTGCGAAGCACAGCTCATGCAAGGGTACGAGAGATCTGAGGATGATGGGGGAGGAGGCCCGGTTCGTGTCATCACTCTCCACCGCTCGGTGTACCATCGTTGGCGTACGTCGACACTCCTTTCTCTCCCTCTTTCTATCCATTGTTCTACTTTGTACGTTGTAGCTCGCGACTATGGGAAGAAGGGTAGGGCCAACATTGGGAACATGGTCGAAATTGATGGGGTGACATAGAGATCCGGAGCCTTGTGCGCAATGCACAAGCAAATTTGGGCACTGCGGCGACCAGATTCAGCCGGGCAAGGCAGGACATACGAAGGACCTGAGGTAACTCAGGTAAGTCCTGCCTCCTCTCTTTTTCTCGTTCTTTCCTCGCTGGGTATCGCCTTCCCTCTCTATCTCTCTTTCTCTCTCCTCCCCCCCCCCCCCCCCCCCCCCCCTTTTTTTCCCCCCCCCTGCCTGTCTCTCTCTCTCTCTCTCTCTCTCTCTCTCTCTCTCTCTCTCTCTCTCTCTCTCTCTCTCTCTCTCTCTCTCTCCCATGCACTACGACGTGCTGCACATTATTCGCCTCACACCTCCCCCCCCCCCCCCCCGTTTCTTTGTCTTTCCCCTCCCCCTCTCCCCCCCCCCCCCCCCCCCCCCTCTCCACCTCTTTGGTGTCGACCGCCTGGTGAGAGCAAGCACGGTACCACGCCGTTTGTTGGGGCCCTCTTCCACCATTTTCCGCACAGTACTTCTTCTCAGACAGTGCAGTCTATTGTCTTCACCCGAATAGAATGGCCGGTCATTATAGCTGTATGTTGGGCAACTTTCAGTCCAAATAAGCAATAATAAAAGGCGTTCTATTCTGGTGAAGACCGTTGTGAGGAAACCCGGGGAGGAGCTACCTACCGTTCGCTGAAGCCATGGGCTACGGCGCCTGTCACTTCGCCGCGCCCGCTTCCGAGGTCCTCAGCGACCAGCAGGGTTATCCCATTCAGCAAGGTCACTCTTGGTCCTTAACCACAGGCCATTTTAAGATCTTTTCCCTTGCGAAAATTTCACAGTAATCTCGGTCGGAATTGATCCCTCTGTGTCACGCAGGAATGTTCAATCCTCTTTCCGTTCTCTTCGGATCAGCTCACCTCCGCGCAATCAGAAGAGCGGGGAAGCCGCCAAAGAGGGAAC